TTCTTTATATATTCTAAATATCACTCTTACTGAGTTTGTCATTTGTGTACAGGAATGCTATTGATTTTTGAGTGTTGACTTTGTATCTTGCTACTCTTTTTTTTTTTTTGTCCTTTTTGAGACAGGGTCTCACTGTGCAGTTCAGGCTGGCCTTGAGCTCACTTTGTAGCTCAGGCTGGTCTCCAACTCTCAACAATATTCCTGCTTCAGCCTCCCAAGTGCTGGGATTATAGGCGTGCACCACCACACCTGGCTTGTATCCTGCTACTCTATTGAATTTGGTTATTAAATCTAGGAGTCTTTTGGTTGGATTTTTGGGGTCGTCCACATAGAGTATCATACTATCTATAAATAATAATTCTTACTCCTTTTATGTCTTTCTCTTATTTAATTGCTCTGGCTAATGTTTCCAGAACTATATTGAAAGGAGTGGTGACAGAGGGCATCCTCGTCTTGTTCCTGTATTTGAGTGAAAGCTTTCAGTTTTTGACCATTTAGTATCATGCTGGCTGTTGGTTTGTCATAGATGGCTTTTATCACATTGAGATAAAGACCATCTATTCTAATTTTCTGTATGGTTTTTACCATAAATGGATGTTGGACTTTGTCAGATACTTTTTCCACATCTTACTAGATGATTATGTGGTTTTTGTCCCTGGTTCTATTAATGTATTATTTTTATTTATTTGTGTATGTTAACCCATCCCTGCATCCCAGGGATGAATCCTGGATGGTCATGTTGTATAATTGTCTTGATTTGCTGCATTCTGTTTGCCAGTATCTTATTGAGGATTTTTGCTCAAATTTGTTTGACTTTTTTTGGTCGGTTGGATCTTTCTCTGGTTTTGCTATCAGGGTAAAGCTTACTTCCAGGAATGAGTTTTAAAGAGTTTAAGGAGTAGTGGCATTAGATCGTCTCTAAATTTCTTATAGAATTCAACAGTGAATCTGTCAGGACTGGGTTTTTCTTTGCTGGTAATTTTCAAATTCTTCAATTTCATTGACTGATACTGGTTTATTTAGAATTTTTATATCTTCTTGATTCAGCTTTGGTAATTCATACATATTGAGGAATCTGTCCATTTCTTCTGCATTTTCCATCGTATTATATAATACAGGTTCTTGAAGTAGGTATACATGATCTTCTGGATTTCTGTAGGATCTGTTGTGATTTCACCCTTTCCATTCCTAATTGCATGAATTTGAGTCTTTACTTTCCTTTTCTGATAAGTTTAGCTAAGAGTTTGTCGATTCTATTTAATCCTTCAAAGTACCAACTCTTCAATTCATTGATTCTTTGTATTGTTTGTTTAATCTCAATTGCATTAATTTCTGCTCTGATCTTTATAATTTCCTCCCTCATGTGTGCATTGGGTTTAACTTACTGTTCTTTTTTAGAAGCCTGAAGTTCAACATTAGGTTGTTCATTTGAGCTTGCTTTGCTTTTTAATACAGGAATTCACCACTATAAATTTCTCTCGTAGGACTGCTTTCATTGCATCCCATAAGTTCCAGTATGTTGTATTGGCATTATTATTTAATTGTAGAAACTGTCTAATTTCACCTGGAATCCATTGGTTAGTATCCACGTATTTATGTAGTTTTTGTGGTTTCTTTTGCCACTGATTTCCAGTTTCATTGCACTATGATCTGATAATATGCACGGGATAATTTCAGTTCCTTTGCATTTACTTAAGCCTTTAAGCATGTTTTCTGAGCTAGTATGTGGTCTGTTTTGGAGAAGTCCCATGTGCTGCTGTTGAGAAGAATGTGTATGCTGCATACACAGTAAATATCCACTCAGTAGAGTGATTTTTACCCTCAGGGAAGAAAATTTAAAAGTGATAAGAGAAAAAAAATAGAGATGTAAAAAAAGAGAAAGTGATTACAAGCAAGGCTGAAGGACAAAGGAAGATTATTTAAATTATAGGAAAAAAGGTCAGAGGGACAGAAAGGAAAAAAAAAATAAGAACAAAACAAAACAATTAAAAACAATGTTCACACTCACAAGAAAGCAAAAACAAGGGAAAAAAGCAAACAACAAAAGCAAAGAAAAAAAGAGATTTCTTTGTGTTTTCAAGCCTGTGGTTATCTTCTTGGGTCTATAGTTTTTTGATAGTGTTCAATTTAGGACATGGCTCTGCTGTCACTGGTAGACAGAGGAGGCTGACAGAGCCCATCCATGCTTGATGATCCTAGCAAGCCTTCAGTAGGATTAGGATGGGATGCTGGGTAATCCCAGCAAGCCTACAGTAGGGCAGGTGCCAACTCTGGTACTTACACATCCACAGAAGTTCAGGATGATTTTGGCCTGTAGTTGTTGGGTTGGTACCTAAATTGTTCAGCCTACAGTACTCTGGGTGTCACTTGCTGGCCTGACCATGGCCCCCTCACCCTGGACACCTACCATGGTTGTCTCTCACCCAGTCACTGTGGGATTTCAATACTGGAAGCCCTGAGATGAAGCCAACCCACAGGGATACCTAGTCCTGAGTTCATTTGGCCCCTCCTTAAAATGCCATCTGGCCAAGTATCTGTCCAGGACACACAGGGATTGCAGTCACTGGGATTGCAGTCACTCACCAGGTGTTGTAGCTCACAGCACTTACTGCTCCTTTCCACTGGTGTGTTTCTCCCTAGAGGCGTCTGGAGTCACTCACCCTCGCTGTCTTACTGTAGATTTGATCCTCCTCTCTTATACACAAGCTATGAGCCAGGGAGAGGGTGCAGTTTGCCCCCTCCTTTTTCTGCTTTGTGATCTGTTATGGGGTTAATAATATCCCTTAGTTATTGCGGGCTTATCAGGTCTGCAGTCTCCTGAATGATTGTATGGTGAAGGCTAAATAAAAGGAGGCAAATGGAATGATTTCAGGGCTCTAGGAGGATCAAAGCTCTCTCACATGATTCAAGATTCTGTCAGGGCTAAGACCAAGAACTTCTCTGGGTTGCCCATATTTATTTGGTTATCAGAAGAAGTGATTGGAGTAGTCAAGAGGGGTGGAACCACTCAAGGACTTCTCTAAGTAAGGTATTAAATTAATCCACTGAAGAATGAGATGCCTGAGGCTATAGTCTTCATCTAGTTGAGATCTGACCCAGGTGTCCTTGGCTGTGATCTTGTTTTATCATTTGAGGCTTTCTGGCTTCATCCACCACTACAGGTTCTAGCAGGGATTAGTGACTCACAGAGGTTTGCTTACTGTGAGTCCGCCATTTCCAGATAAGGAGTCTAGGCCTTGGACAGATTCACAAGTGAACATGAAAAGCCAATTGATTAATTTATGTCCTGCTCAAGTCTGCTTCATAGTGGTCTCCATCAATCTGTCTCTTTACTTTCTCTATTGGCCCCAGTTTTCCCTTCAGATCCTTTCTGGGTCTCAGAGATCTACCTCCTTTTCTTCCCCAGGTGGTTATTTTCCAGTATCTGGATTCCGACTCTTAGGTTAATTTGTTGCTGTTTACTGCTGCACAGTCTTTCCAGAAGTCCTCTGTCATACTCTTAAAAAGCTAAATTATCCTCCATAATGAAGGAAAATGGATAGACCTGGATGAGAACTCTGTTCTGGGACTAGAGAAGGAGAATAGAGCCATAGGACCTGCAAAAAAGCAGGGAGAGGAGTTTTTGGAGAGAGAGAAAGCAAAGAGGCAAAAGAGGGAAGAAAATATTTTTTCAAAAGTTTTAGAAACATGTTTTCTATGATACGACACTTAACTCTATTCCTTCCATCTCCCTAAACTTCCTTCAGTAAAAATTATGCCTGTTAAACTGAGCATGGTGGCACACGTCTGTAATCCCAGCACTTGGGAGGCTTAGGCAGGAGGATTGTGGTGGGTTCAGGGCCAATCTGGACTACATAGCAAGACCCTGTCTCCAAACAACACAAAACAAAATTATGCCTTCTTAAAAATTTCCCCTGTGGTACTAAGGTTTAAAGAGAAGACCTTCTCACACTAAGCTACACCTCTAGCCATCTTTATTTTTTGAGATAGGGTCTCTGTGAGTAGTCCAGACAGACCATGAACTCATGATCCTCCTGCATCCATGTCCCAAATAGCTAGGATTACAGATGTATGCCACCATGCCTTGTTTATGACATTATTCAATACAGGGATGGAGGAGCAGCGGGGAGGGAAGAAACGAAGGAAAGGAAAAGAAAGGAAGGAAGGGAGTTGCTGAAGTAGACTAAATTACATTTGGCTATACAGCTATAAAGTTCTCTGCACATAGTTGAAGTTGAGCTGTTCTAATTGCTGTCTCTTCCTTTGCCAAAAGAGCTCCTGGTGTTGGCCACAGATAGTTGTTCCACAGATGCTCAGACCTCTGAGTGGAATGAATGCTCAGTCTTAAGCATAAAGTTAGAGGGGAGGTTTTGTTTTCACAGAGAGAACTGTTCAGGCCTTCTTAAAAGACCATACTCTCATCTTCTAGCTTCAGAGGTAGTTCTTAGCAAAACATAGGGAAAGTAATACACATTTCTAACCTAGGGTAAAAGTCAATTTAATGACTTGAGAGTTGCAACGAAGTCAGCATTGGACTTTGGTAGGAGCTAGGCTGGTCTCATAGATGCCAAACCTTTTATCAAAAAGCTAAAGAACATGTTTGTTTGTTTATTTGGGGTTCTGGGATTTGCTCCAGGGTCTTTGAATTCAGCTACATCCCCAGACCATTTTATTATTTTATTTTGAGGTAGGCTGTCCCAAAGTCACTAAACTTCCCAATCTGGGCTCCATCTAGTAATCCTCCTGCCTGAGCCACCCAACATGCTGTGATTACAGATGTGTGCCACCATGCTTGGCTTTAAATAGTTATTTTGTTGTACATTTAAATCAGATTTAAGTGACTACTATGTTTCTAGATGCGATACCACCAAGCACTTGTTTTCTCAGCTGTATAGTGAAAGCACTGATTTTTAGGGTCTCTTCCCACAATAGTCTAAAGTATTATGCTTCCTTGTCAAGGGACAGTGACTGTCTTCATTCTCCTCACTTGTCTTGAACAGAGCTCACTCTACTCTGGATGAAGACTTGGAAAGATGGCTCCAGCCATGTGAAGAAAAGAACATAGAGCTACATGACTCCTGCAAAGACTTTAAAAGGTTATTGTTCCCCATTAGGGGACTGTTCTTTCTCCTCCTCTCCTACCCTTTTCTTTACAGGGGAAAGAACACATTAGATGCCTAAGGTATAGGAGTATTAGATTTAGATTCCCATGCAGAAAGTGGGGCTAGGTTTAGGCTTCTGGGAGAACAAGTGTCTGATAACGGCGTTACACTCCAGCCCAACTCCATCTCTCTACACTCTCGTGCTTGCTCCTCTTCCTCCAGCCACCCACAGTGCTCAAGATTGTGATTAACGATGGTACTTCAGGCAGATGCAGACTGAGATTACTGCAGTTTTGGCCTGCCACCTTCAACATTTTCATCAGTCATTTGAATTAAATCAGAAAAGGCATGCTTATCAAACTTTGAGATGACAAATCTCAGAATGAACTCTGATGGGATGGATGATAGACCAAGGATCCAAAATGGTCTTGACAGGTAGAAATGTTAGATAGTCTAAAAGATAAAGGTAAAGCTGGGCACAGTGGTGCACACCTAGTCCCAGCTACCCAGGAGGCTGAGGCTAGAGGATTGTTGGAGCCGAGGAGTTTGAGGCTAGGCTGGGCAACATAGGGGGACCCACCTAAAGAAAAAGAAAAATCCAAAAATTTTAGGTCCAGCAGCATAAAATCCTAGACACCTGTTAGGCCGGGCATGGTGGCACACACCAATAATCTCAGCACTCGGGAAGCTGAAGCAGGAGGATCATTGTGAGTTCGAGACCAACCTGGGCTACAAAGTGAGCTCAAGGCCAACTTGAACTGCATAGTGAGACCCTGTCTCATCCAAAAAAAAAAAAAAAGAAAAAAATCCTGCACACCTGCTCTCAATGGAAAATTTTGAACTGGAAGCCTCTCTGTAGTAACACTGAAAGCAGGAAGTCTTATTTTTATATACCCAGCACTTCACATGCATCTTGAAACAAGGTAAGAATTCCAGAAATTCTTAAACACTGCAAGGCTGTGAGGCCTCAGTCTGTGAGGCCTCAGGCTGATAAGTTCTGAAAACGTCAGTGCTGCATTAATTCTGCATTAGGCCAGGTGTGGTGGCACATGCCCGTAATCCCAGCACTTGGGAGGCTGAGGCAGGAGGATTGTTGGGAGTTCAAGACCAGCCTGTGCTACAAAGTAAGCTCAAGGCCACCCTGAACTGCATAGTGAGACCCTGTCTCAAAAAGACAAAAAATAATAATAATAAAAAATTCTGCAGAGACAGAAATATACTCTCTGGAGCCAGTGACGGGTGAGACAGGTAATATGCTGTTTAGAGGACTCCTGGGATACAATGTGGAGCTCCCTTGGGGTGTCACATTTAAACAGGGATCTTAACAAAGAGAAGAGCATAGGCACAGAGCAGTCAGATGTCTGCACAGCAGGTTGATGAGAACAGCCAAAGGAGCTGGGGAGGCTCAGCCTGAGCAGAGCAGATGGAGGGGAGAATCTGATAGCCTCCCTCACACACCTGAAGTACTGTGAAGTGACCAGAGTCAGCCTGCTCTCTCCTGCCCCAAAGGACACAGCTAGTGACTAGAAATCGCAGAGTAACAGACTTTTACTCAGCAGAGCACAGACTTCGTCCTGGTTACAGCCATGGGACCAAGGAAGCAGCTGCCCTTTCCCTTCCAAAGTGGCTGCTCCTGCTCAGAAGAGGCTGGTGACCCTAGTGTTTGTATTTGGACAGAAGTAAAAGAAAACTCACTCTTGAGCCTGCAGTTCTCTCAGTGTAGGTTAAGAGGGGGAAAAGTCTGCTTTCACCATAACTAAATTTCTTTCTTTCTTTCTTTCTTTTTTTCTTTTGTTTTTGCTGTGTGGGGATTGAATGCAGGACCTTGTGCATACTAGGGCTCTGCCACAGGACCACATACACACCCCCTTTCATTTTACTGGGGTTTTTGTTGTTTGTTTTCTTTTTTTTTGGTACTGGGAATTGAACTTAGGACCTTGTGCCTGCCAGGCAGGCACTTGTGCCACTGAGCTATATCTCCGGCCCTATATTTTGTTGTGACTGTCCATGGAAAGAGAACAGAAGAAGCCTTCAACAGTGCTGCTTTGGTTCATCCAGCTTCTTGAGCACTGATAGTGAGCCAGAAACTCTGCTTGGGCTGGAGGCACACAGAGAGACATCTCTCCCTTAAGGAGCAGAGAGTTGAGAGGAGAAGACAGATTCTGCTTAGTAGTTTAACAAATCTAGTCTTAAATTGTAAGATAATTTAAATTATTTAGACATTTCATACTAGAGGAAGTTTCAGAAAATGAAGATGATAAAAGAAATGGTGGTTTTCCAAAGTACACCCAATAGTATAAGTAAAATACATTTTCTCTTTATGACTAGCTATATAGCTTAGTAAACAAAAGCAGAGTCTAATTAGCTAGGCTGTCTGTGTCAATCCCAGCTCTAGGACTTACTGGATATGTAACTTCTCTGTGCCTCAGTTTCTTCCTCAGGTAATGGGAATAGTGGTAACTACTTCATTTAGTTGTTACAAGAATTGAGTTAACATACTTTATAGTACATAAACCAACACCTGGCCCACAGGGAACACTCCTATAGTACTAACTACTATTTCTGTCGTTTGGAGTGCTATCCTGTTCTCCTGGATCTTAGGCATGTGGTTTAATTCCCCAAATCATTCTCATTAAAGGGACACAAAAACCAAGGATCAAGATTTTGGTGAAAAGAAGACCAAAAGTAAAGAAAGCATCAAGTCAGAGAGAAGGAAATCGGAGAGCTTTTTAGGGACTTGTGAAGAAGGTATGAATGAAGAATTGTTTATAATACAGTCTGCCATCTTTAGGCTTTGTGGGTATCCAAGTTACGAAGAAATGTTTCCCAGATACTATATATAATCTTCCTATAGTTCATAATTCTGCAGTTCAGTCTAGACTTTCTGTTAACTGCCAGTCATCACTTAATCTAGTTCCTTTTCAAGAATGAGCTATTGGCCAGTATCTTCAGCATCTTGCACATTGTCTGGAAAGCTGTTTAGCTTCTGATTGTCTAACATCTGTGAAAGGTTTTCAATTTAGTGCATCCAGTTGCTGCAGAACCTAATAAATCATACTTCATGGAATGTAATTGGGATCCATAAGTGATATAAAAATTGTAATTCAAGCTTAATTTCACATTAGCCTTTGTTGTTTTTTGAGACAGAGTCTTGCTCTGTAATTCAGACTGGCCTTGAACTTACTATAGAACTCAGCCTGGCCTCGAATTCATGGCACTCCATCTGCCTCAGCCTCCTGAATGCTAGGATTACAGTGGCTTTAGGCGTCTGATATGCCATTTACAAATGATGCCCTCCTAAATTTTGTTTTCTCCACTCAGGAAGTTAGCGATATTAATTGTTTCAGGTCATCTGTTATCTCTTTATCCTGTCCTAGTCCCTTTTCATTGTTTTTGCTAGGATGCTGTCTGGTTTTTGCTAGGATGCTGACGCTAGTGGACTGCTCTTCAGGGCTTCCTATTGGCCAGTTGAAATGCCTGGAAAAAATCAAAAGGCAGGAGAGGAGGGTAGTGTTTACTTCCCCTCCCTATTTCAGTACTTTGTGTCTGGAAGAAGTGCTGTCCTTCCCCAAGCACTTCTGTGTGGCAGCCTATCCTTCCCAATTCCAGCTGTCTTCCCTGAGTTCCAATAACTCCCTCCACCCCCACCATTTACACCCTTTATTTATTATTTATTTATTTATTTAGTCTTTTTGAGACAGGGTCTCACTGTGCAGTTCAGGCTGGCTTTGACCTCACTTTGTAGCCCAGGCTGGTCTTAAACTCACAGTGATCCCCCTGCCTCAGCCTCCCAAGTGCTAGGATTACAGATTGCACCATCATGCCCAGCCAGACCCTTTAGACTTAAGTTTCCCATTGCTGCCCATCCCTGGGTGCCTTGCCATTCCTTGTTTGTTCCTTGAACTGTTTTAACTATGCTTTGTATGTATTCACTTTATAAACAAATCTTTCCCTGTACTATCAATGTGTACCTTTTGTTTCCTCTGACTAGCACAGGGCCCAGTGTGTGGGGTCATTTGGCTAGTACTGAGTCACTAAGAAGATAATTCAGAAGATAATTTGTGAATTAGTGCCATTAATGCCCACTGCTATGGCAGGGAGCTGTAGAATGTTAGGAGGGGAAGCCATTAATTATGTCCTTAGAAAGATTCTGTATGTATATAATAGAACATGAGTGTGGTGGCACATACCTCCCAGCACTCACGAGCCTGAGGCAGAGGGATCACCAGAAACTTGAGGCCACCCTGGGTTAAGTAGTGAGTTGAAGGCCAGCCTGGAATACGTGGTGAGACACTGTCTCAAAACAAAACAAAAAACAACTGTTGTAGGTAAGACTGTCTGTGCTAAACTGGATAGAACACTGATACGACTTCTGAATTCTAGCACTCATTTACCTAGGAAATAATCAGGTTGGTTTTTTTTTTCTTCCTCTTATATTTCATGAAGATGAACTAAAACCCTGTTTTTGGAAGCGACTGGGTTGGTCTGAACCATCAAGGTAATTAGAAATATGTTTTAGTTTACAGTTTCATTTTTAGAGAGAGAACAAGTGCACTTAAGACATTAACTAGTACGAATAAAAACCATGGGAAGAGGCTTGAATTTCTGACCAGCTTGCTCAATTTATAGTTATATGTTTATAGTTCATTAAAATATAAAATGAAATGAATGCCCTCTCTGATTAAATCAAAGTCAGTATAAGAACCGTTCATATACAGGAGCAGAAGATGCTGCTGTCAGTTGCTTTGCAGTTGTCTTGCATTTCCATGATTCACTGATCATCTTCTAATCTCCCTTGATTATAAAATCCCTTTCTCTTCAATTCAGTTGAACAAAAAGGGTGTTTGTGTCTTTCAAAAATGTGCATACTGGGCAACCCATTCAGGACCCCTCCTGTCACTTGGGAGCTGTTCACATTTCCCATCCCCCCATTCCTATTCCCCATTCTTTTTCTCCAATAAATTTTCCCACTCTTAAAAAAAAGTGCAAGGGCCGGGCGTGGTGGTGCACACCTGTAATTCCAGCACTTGGGAGGCTGAGGCTGGAGGATCGTTGCGAGTTCGAGACCCAGCCTAGGCTACAAAGTCTACAAAGACCGGCCTGAACTGCATAGCGAGACCCTGTCTCAAAAAGACCAAAAAAAAAAAAAAAAAGTGCATACTACTACAACAAGTACTGAAATCAGTAAGGAGATTCCTTAGAAAACTAAAAATAGAAATTCCACCCAACCTAGCTATTCTCTTTCTGGGTATCTTCCCAAAAAAGTTAAAGATATCATATTACAGTGACACATGCATACCCATGTTTATAGCAGCAGAATTTATAATAGCCAAATCTTGGATAAAGCCTACGTATTCATCAAGAGATGAATGAATAAAGAAAATGTGATGCTGCTATTCAGCCATAGAGAAGAATAAATTTGAGTCATTGTGGGAAAATGGATAGACCTTGCAATTATAATTCTAAGTGAGATAAATCCGACACAGAAGGTGAAATGTCACATGGTTTCTCTTATATGGGAAACCCAGAGTGTAAGCAAAGAAAGCAAAATAAAAAATTATAGGAAGCAGGGAGGTAGACTTTGATGGATGGGGAGATCTAGGGCTGCAGGGAGTGGGGGAGGGAAGGAGAAAAGGATTAAGATGCAGTGTGTACCCGTACCAAGTCTCCAAGATTAATGTATTCATTATGTATTGCAAACATGTACTATGAGTGACAAGAAAAACGATACATACTGAGTTGTCGCTCAGTGGTGGAGTGCTTGCCTAGCGTGCAGAAAGGCCTAGGTTCAATTTCCGGGATGGCAAATACTACTAAAAAGAATTTTAAAAATTGTGCATAATAATTTGAAGCTCCCTTTTTTGTCCTTTAAAATATCTGTGCACAGGATAATCGTGCTGGATCAGAGCGACTTGTCAGACTGACTGGAACTGGATCATAGATGGACTCTAGCCTGATTTTGAGCAACCTGGTTGTGAGCTCCTGTCTTCTCTCGTCCGCTTTAGTTGCTATCAGGGGAGCAGGTTAAGTTCTGTAGCTCACAGTTTGTTCAGCTGCTGTAGCAGTCATGGTGGTTTGACTGTCTGTAGGCAGCACATTTAACCATTTGTTTCCAATCAGATTCCTGAGAAGCGCAAGGTAGTTATAAATTCAAAAATTGTTCATTGTACCCAGAATGGTTTTTGGTTTTGTTGATACATATTTTTGAAAAATTTACTTTTGTTATATAATAAAGTGTTTCTTGTACTACCATTCATTCTGTCAGTGTAAGATCTATGTCTTTGTTTGAGTTTGGGAGTTGGGAGAAAGGCCTTCCATTTTTGGTATAAGTTTTTACACATAGGGAGCTACCACCAGTTGTCCTGTTTTATACCAGAAATACTCCTAACCACTTGGCTAAAATTTGCCACATTTCCCCAAAGTGAACCCTAGCTGTTCTCAGTGACAAGGTCCCAGGCTCCTCCGACAGTGACAACAGCCAAGTTCACATCAGGAAAGCCAGCGTGACAAGCCCCTCTAGGAGAACCAACAGCCCCAAGAGAACCAACAGCTCCCAACAGCTCCTCCAGTTCTTCTCCACGTCTCTTTTTATGCTATTGGCAACAATCCTCAGGTGGGCCTTCCACACCCAGCACCACGCTGATTCAGTTCAGCTGGGCGTTACAGATTGACCACCAGTTGTCCTGTTTTATAGCAGAAATACCACCCAACCAGTTGGCTAGAACTGCCTCATTCCCGTTACCTAGAATTAACTTCGTAGAAGGAAGTGATAAAATCCCAAGGTGTTTAGAACTTTTAAGATGAACAACAACATTCTCATACATTTTGCAACGTACTTCTCCAGTGTACATCATGAGTGTAATAGAGAAATAAAATAGTGGTAAGTTTAAGATTACCACATTTTTTTCTAATTTGGCTTCTTGTGACTACTGGCCAAATGATATGTGTACCTAGCCTGGTTCCTAAAGGATTTCTGTCCTTTTTTACCTCCACTTTGGAGTCGTCACATATGAATAGAAACCTTCTCCAGGAAGCTAGGTACTGCTGGGTGTGTGGTACTAGCCAGATAACCTTGTTTTTGTGTGTCTTGGTGAGTAAGAAAAACGTCTTTTGTGAAAACTGAATAGTTCCCACTGTGGATGATCATATTCGAATCTCTTAGCACCCATAAATTCTGTGCTGCACAGATCAAATGGGAAGGTACAAATCTGTTCGGCTATTTCAAGGCAAGGAAACAGTTGCCTGCCATTACAGCCAGAGGTCCAGCAGAAAACAGTTTATAAATAATACCATGTTTAAGAAACTTTGAGAGATACAGCCAGCCTGAATGAACTGCATAGTGAAACCCTCTCTCAAAGACAAAAACAAATAAAAATGCCAGCCCCATCACCTTGCTTTACCTGCCATTATAGAGTAGCCACTGAGCAAGAGAATAGTGACATGTAATATTCTACATGACCCTGGATATCGCCATGGCAATGAAGTGTTTATTTTTGGGAAAACGCAGTATTATAAAACAAGTATCTTATATACATTAATCCTTTTCTTACACATGACAGTCCTGCTTTTTTTAGGGTGCTTCTCCTGCTTCCATCTGCTGTTCCAAGCCTCCACTCCTCACTTCCCTCCAGCATTCAATGGATGACTTACACCAGTTGTGCAGAAAAAATAGAATTAGCTTGGCTCCCCGCCACCAAAACTCCTGACATGACCACCTCTACCTCCATTGAACGGAAGGACAGTTGGTGGAGCAATCTAACCCGAATGGAGCTGGACCTATTCTGCGCCTGTCCTTTCCACTTTTCTCCTGTTAATCTAAAGGCGATGTCCTCCTTCCTGTCCTAGACCTATCCCATCTTCTGTCTGCTCAGGGTTTTCCTCCTTGGCTTGGCATCCGTATTTTCAGCTTTAACCTTTCCTCTTCATTAGCTTCCTTTCATCAGCATTAGTACTTTGGACTTTCCTATCTTTAGGAAATCCTCCCTGGACCCCACCTCTCTCTCCAGCCACTGTGCCATCCTCCTCGCCCTGCAGCTCTTCAAATACCTGTGTGCACCTGCTGTCCCTGCTACCTCATTTCCCACTCAAATCAACCAGAATCGAGTCTATTTCTTTTTGTTTTCTGGTGGTCACTGAGGTCACCAACAGCTTCCACATTCCTAAACCGCTCCGTCCCTTTTGCCCCATTGTCAGTTGCGCTCTCAGCCTCTTTTCTCAGATTTCTTCATACTAAACTCGGGGGTTTCTTCTCTCTCTGGTTACTCCACCTGTCTCATCCTACAGGCTCTACCTCTGTGTTTTTCTCCTAGTCAACCTATCTGGCTCCCATCATTCACTTAGAATCTGTACTGACAATCCCAGGTCTATGCACAGAACCAATACTGAACTCAGTTTTCAGCTCTGCCCTCTTCAGCATTCCCCTTCCAGTCAATGGTATTACGTCCACTTACCAATCCAGAAACTCAGGAACCCTTCTTGACTCTTCTACTGTTCCTTTACTCTTTACATTAAAAACAAAAGTCATTAAGATTTACTTTTTCTTGCCAGGTGTTATGGTTGATACATTGTGCCAACTTGGGGAGTCTAGAGGTTTGGCTGTGACTCAGCAGTTCTGCCTCTTGGGGTGAAAAGGACAGGCCCTTACCTTCTGGGATGTTGTTTATTGTGTTAATTTGAGAAGTTAGAAGGTTAACTATGCAACTCAGAAGGGGTCAGGGTGCTTACTTTGTATTCATCCTAAGCCTGTGCAAGAGGCAGGCATCAGAGGGTGTGGGTGTGGAGGATCACCTCCACCTCCCCAGAGCAGGTAGACTGCATAAAAAAAAAAAAGGAATTGAGGAAGGACTGGCTGCTGGTTCTTCAGAGGAGCTCCGGTCTTTGCCTTCAGCTTGGTCATCTCCTGGCTTTGGTGCAGACTGTTGGGCTTCCGTCTGGACTCTTCAGCCTTCTGGTGTTGGCTCTCTGGCCTTCATCGTAGATTCTTCAGCATTCCATCGCAGACCCATCAGTCTTTTGATACGGACTTGCACGGACACTGCAGCAAGCTCCAGGCCCAGGGCTGGGCTCTTCAATCTCCAGTGTGCAGACACCCTCTGCACGCTTCCTCATCCAACTCTGTAGCTGACCATGGTAAGCCAAACTTGTAATTCCTTGTACATTTGTTTATCTTGTATTATATCTGTTCCTCTAGTAAACCCTGACTGATACACCAGGCATGGTGGCACATGCCTGTAGGCCCAGCACTCAGGAGGCTGAGGCAGGAGGATCATTGTGAGTTTGTGAGTTCTTGACCAGCTTGGCCAAAAAGTGAGTTCAAAGACAGCCTTAAGTACATAGAAACCCTGTCTCAAAAAAGACCAAAAAAAAAAGTATTTAATTCAAGAGAAGCTGAAATGGACTTCTTAAAAAAAAAATCTCCAAAATACATGTCCCCTAGTCTCATTTCCCTCCATTTCTGTGACCATCACCCTCATCCAGGTCACTTGCAACTCTTAGTCCGACCATCTCAGCGTGGTCTTCTGGTGGCCTCTTCCATGGAATCCCATATGCTGCAGTCGTATTTTAAAGTGTGCCTATGTACCAGCCCTGCTCCTAGTGCTGGGACAACAGTAAACAGAGTCACTGCAGTCCTGGAATCATTAAATGAACAAAGGTCATAGTGGTGATGCTGGCAACACAATAAAAAGATTAAACTGATAATGATTTTGTGTGTGGCCAAACTTAACGTCAGAGAGCGTTGCGAGGGAAGCTGCTCCGAAGACGTGACCTTTGAGCTTTAGTAGGAATGAAGACAAAGCTGATTCTGTGACTCTGGGGTCATAACTCATAGCATCCCAGCAAGAGGAATAGCAGGTGTGAAGTCCTCATGAGAAACGCTGCATTGGAGCCGTACCAGGTCGGTGTGGTACAGCAGAGTAAGCTGTAAGGGAACAAAAAGGAGCTGAAGGAAGCATGGCAACAGCCAGAGGGGTTACAGATGGTGACAAAGTGCGGGAATCCAACAGAGGGTTCTAAGCAAGGGAGCAGAGTGAGTTAAAACTGACTCACATTTGTAAAACATTTCATTTAGCCGGGCATGATAGTGCAGGCCTGTAATCCCAGCATGTGGGAGGCCAAGACAGGAGGATCGCTGCAAGTTTGAGGCCATCCTGGGCTATACAGTGAGTCCAGGCCAGCCTGAACTACATAGTGAGACCGTCTCAAAAAAAAAAAAAAAAAAAAAAAAAAATTATTTTCTACATTTCTCTGTTTTTTCTGCACAGCAATTGTTTTTGTTTTTTGTTTGAGAAGGGTCTCACTGTAGCTTTGGTTGGCCTCAAACTTAGTTCTGCTTTGGCCTCCCTACATGCTGCGACACAGTGGGCTTCCTATCATGCAAAAAATTATTTCATTTCTTTGCCCAATCTTTATCAGTGTTTTTGGAAATACTTAGCTTCTCTCGATTCTTTAACTTTTGTATGTGCAGTTATCGCTCGGAGCACACGTGCACCACAGTTCTTTACTTACCTCATTATTTGCTTCTCAACTTCTGCTTCCCTCTCTTAAGGAGTCTTCTTGAAGTTCCTCAACCTTCACCAAGTTTCATACCCTCTGTGAAATTTATCCATAGTATCCTGCTTTCCTTCTCCTACCCATATAGATCATACTTTAATTTATAGTGCATAAAAATCTTACAAACCAGGAGGATGCTCCTCTAATGGCATGATAAAACTGTGTCCACAAGGCCAGCGATCATGTCTGGGTTGTTCACTGACATATCCTCCACTCCTAGCAGAAAACCTGCATATATTTTGCCCACTGAGTGATTATTTTGAATTTTCACAACAAAAAAGCTAATATAATCCCTCTTAGAAAAGAGGAAACAAACGTTTGAATACTTAAAGTAAGAGTAGCCTTCCCAGAAACTGTAGCTCAAGAATATTCTGAGCAAAGTTTAAGGATTATAAAGTGAAAGAAGAGGTAAATTCAAGTTAAAACTGATTAAACTCCATCCCCGTCTCCCTACCTATTCTCTGGGGTTTTGTGATGGCTAGCTTTAATGGTCCCCTTGATTGATTTAGGGCCTGCCCAGGGAATGAATAATGCACACTTTCTAGTGTGTTTGGGTAGGCCATGGAGGTATACTCTTGGAGTCTGTACCTGGTCCCTGGCTCTTCTCTCTCTGGTGCTCTTTCCCTGCTCTGCTTCCCAGCCACCATGAACTGAGCTATTGTGCTGTACCTACCATCTCACCATGATGTTTTTGCCTTGGA